GAACGCGTCAAAATTTTTGTTGCACAGTTATTGTAGTGCAAAAAGTATAGTACTCATAGATAAATAATTTTCCAACCTTGAGAACGAACACCCCACAGCTCTTTGCATCTTTTTGCACCGCTTGATAAAGCACTCTGTCTTTCCAAATTGATCGGTCCTGGATGGTTTGGTCATCTAGCCGTCGACCCAAAAACAACCTAACCGTGATTCAATAAACATACATACTCTTGTCATATAATTATAATAATAATAATAATAATAATAATAATAATAATAATAATAATAATAATAATAATAATAATAATAATAATAATAATATTGGACTCGCTGGAAGTTATTATTTCTGTATCACTGACATTACTCAAGAGAGAATGAGCTTGCATCAAACAAATACATTACCTTATTTTCTCGCTAAACTCCAATCGATTCTTATCTGAATTTAACATTGGATCGAAATACATGATCCCTTTTTTCTTTACGTCCACTGCCTGTGCATAAAAGAAGGAAATACAAAATAAGAGACAAGAAATTTGACGGTCCATTTTCCGAGTATGCTGATCCCGAATGTGTCTTTGCAGGGCTTTGTTGTGTGGATAAGCTTTCGAGCACTGTGGACATTCAATTTTAGCTTCCGTAGATGATGACGATGATTTTGGTACTTGCGGTGCTGCTCTGGAATGTCCAGTTTTATTTTTTGGTCTCTCTTTAGTGATCAGAGGGACAGACACGTTGACCTTGGAGTGAGTGTTGAGATGTACAGTCATTGCATTTTTCCGCTCACAAATTTGAAAACAGTAAGCGCAGTGCCAGTGTCCTCGGTTGTCGAAAGTCCTTCCCGCTGTTGTCGAGCACTTCAGTACGCACTTCAGCATCGCTTTATCTACAAGGACCAAAATAACGAAAAAAAATGTCAATTCACAGACGTTGCGTTGTTTCTTTCCATTATTGTGTTTTTCTTTTAAACTCAGAGAACCAGGGTTCACGACGTAAATAGAGACCGCAGTTGATTTAAGGACTTTTTGTGCTTATCGTCTTGAGTTTCTGCTCAAGGTTTGGTACAATTGCGAAAAATTCCGAAAATATAAGTCCATAGATAGTTAGATGAATTGGAAATTCATAACAATTCTTACTATGGTAAATCATCTGGAATTTAAGGCAGAATAATACTGCATCCAGTCCAGTAATTTCGAAAAGAATTAAGAGCGGTTTTCTGTAAGGACCGACTAAGGGTATGCAAGATAGAAAAATCCGATTTTCCCAAACTTTGCCAGAAAGAAGGCCTTGGTGAACTGTTTCTAAAAATATAACTTTCGGGTCGTTTGGGGTTTTACTTATTTTTTAGTGAATTTTTTAAATTTTGGCCGTTAACGCCGGCTTTAATCACGCCGAAATATGCACTTTTGCAGAAGCTCCCATTAATACCTTGAAACCTTTCTTAAAAAGATTAACCAAGCAAATCAAACTATCTTCTTTCCTCAGATTATCGGTGTCGTCAAATGCAAATAAAATGTAAACGTGAAAATTTGACAGATTTTCTAATTTTACACCTTTCAATGGTGATGACAACAACAGTATTTTGGCTAAATTCAAGGCCTAAAAAAGCACTCTGGTACATCGCTTTGACCAACAAAACTATACTAGGAGGAAACATTATCATTTCAACTAAACATCCATGAAAAAAAAAATTGGGGTAAATGAAACGGCGAGTTCTGAGAGCGATTTCAAAACAGGTCATTTTATCAATTATGAGTGACCTTTGACCTTTCATATTCATGGAAATAAACTGACTTTTGTTTGCGTGATGACGTTTTTTTGGCTCTACCAGTTTGTTTTTACTTAGAAATACTTGCCTTTTAAATTTTGAGCCATGCAATTAATTTGGAATAGTAAAATTGGAAATTAGAGACAGTTTGCTCAGACATGTCAGTTTTGTCTACCGCCGACTCTGTAGTACCAGTCTATTGATACAACACAAATGCGGCAACAAATGCGAGGTAAATCAATGTGCGAGGTACTTGACTAATATGTATTATCTCAGCGATGCTTTCTTGGATAGAAAGAACCGCATTCATGGAAGTTCCTGACAAAAATCGCCGAGCGCATATATCACCTGAACGTGGAACATGACCAAGTATTGAATGCCACAGGACACCCAGGATTGGATATGGTCGCGGAGAGGTCGGTACATCTTTGTTAGTTCAATTTTTTTTTGTTTTGGACTGATAAAAAAATCTTTTTTCCTGGATTATCGAGTTGGTCTCCGTAAATTGAAGAGCCCGCGTTCCGAAGAGGCAGCACTGGCTTACTTCTTTGTCTTTAATTGCACCTGTTAATTTGTACAGTGCAGTTTATTCATTGACTTCATTCAATCATTGTGTACTTGCAAATGGCTTCGTGTGAGTATGGGCAGATTGCAGGTGGAACATGTGGTTCTAGTGTGGACAATCCAGAAAATGTGAAGAGCGTGATCCTCGCCAAGTGTACAAAACTGATACAAGGGCATCTACGTTCTTGCAACATTCGAGACGCTAGTTTAGACTCTGAACCAAAGCTGTTGTTGGCACGTGCAGGTACGTAATGTCGATGTCTGTATTAAACAGGTCATCTTTAAAAAAAAACGAGAAAGAATAGACGCATAATTTAAAGAAAGGAAAATAAACGCCTCCCAATCTTTTTACATCAAGAAGAATCGGTGTGAGACTAAAACTAAATGTAATTTAGCTGCTTCGTGATCTGATTCAGACTGTTTTTATATTTTGAAAGGTGTCCGCAAATTTATCGAAGCATCACTAGTTTTCCTACGTCTGCAGCCTGTAGATTTTAATTATTGTCCATAATTTACACACTAAATAAAACTGGACGATGTTCAAGGTTTAGTCACAAGGGTAACGCGGAAAATGACTTGAAAGGAAGGCTTAATGAAGGGTGACGCTCAGCACCTGCTTTAATTGTTTAATGTCGTGTACTTCTCATTTTACTGCATTTCACATACAATTTTTACCCCGTTAATTAAGGGCCATGATTGCAACTTACAACGCTAAAATATTTTTAGACATATTCCTAAAACACATAGCGTGTTATTCAAGAATGAATTTTACTGTCAAAGATATGAGTGATAATTCACCCGTGCAGTAGCCGACTTAATCAAATTAAGATCAATATCAGAACATCTGAGCTGAGCCAAAACGCAAAAGTAAAAGCCTCCATGTTTCTCAGTAAACACGCAAAATTTAAACTTTTTCCTGATCATTAAAACTTCAGTGCGTTGAGAAGTTTATTTTAAAAAAATTATTAATATTGCCTACATTTATAAACCATCTCATATTTATCGCGAGCATTACAGCCTTGTTTGTTTCACAGGAACTTTACAGAAGTGAGGAACAAAAACTGCTTTTGGGATGACTGGACGTCCAAAGAAAAATTAAAAATAAAGCTTTTGATTTTATCTTTTGGTGCATAAATTAACGATAAACGTGGAGGAAGCGAATAAAATGTGAACGACGCTGTGATATATAAGCTAAAAATTGTTAAGTAAAAGGCACCTTACAACCTTTTTTATCTTTGAAGGGATTTTTGACTTAAACGAAAGTCACCTTGAACTAACAATATGCCCAAGACATCGAGACAAATTTGGCATTAGATGGCGTTCAAATAAGAGGATATGCACTGCTCCCAGTGAATGGTCATCGCATGGAACTTTAGTGTCAGGGGAGAGAGGAATATCGTCTCTACATTCCAAGCTACTCTACCAGCAAACCCAAGTGTTGCTTCCTGTAGGCTCCCGTGAGTGTTAAACCTGTAGTGATATTTTACAACATTGCCGGGTTTAGAGCGTAAAAGAATGGCAGTTTCAATTTCCTCCACTGCCACTTTTTGTATTTTAAATTCATAATCGGATATACCCCCGCCCCCTAAAATCTTTAAATCAAGAAACGTGTTACCGAACAGTTTCAACACATAGCTGCAATATTTCAAAAACGAAGAGCATCATGAGCAAAAACAGAAGCTATAAGAATCTGGCACAGATTTTCTGAGTAATGTTCTGCAATCCACTATTTTTTTCAGAAATCTGCAAGCAATGCAGGAGAAAGTTGGAAGAAGCATCGCAGTTATTAGTATTTCCCAGCTCAGAATCGACCGCAGAAGATTTAGGATCTAACGTAGACAAACCGGAAGAGCGGATATCACAAAATATCGCACAGGTAGATAGAGCTATATGGTATAGCTATGGCATGAACATAACAGATTAGAACCTTGTCCGAGTGGCTTTTAATAGTTTAGTGAGGTTCAGCAAAAGGCGAGTTTTCCTCCCCTTCACTTTTGATGACCCCAGCCTCCTTGCATACTACTCCTTTATATCATGTATTGATGCGAGAACACTTATATATCATTGCAGTGGTGATATGTACGCGGTTAAAAAAGTCATTCGCTCTACAGCGCTAACTAGTTCATTTTGCTTTCTAACGCGTACAGAGAGAAGATGTGGAGAGTAAAGAAGTTGAAGACAACGTTAGCCAGTCAATGCACCACCTGACCATAAGAGACGAATACTCTCATCCACAGCTTGACGAATCAGGACACTACTCCGAGATCGACACTAGCTGTATCAAACGGACTCTCAAGCGAGCAGCAGCAGCGAGAGTTCTAACGGCGATGATCCACAAATTAGTAGTCAAGCAACAAGACGTTCTCTGTTGAACGATTTCTTACGTTCATGTAATGCTCACACAGTCGGCTCATACAAAAAGCGATGGGAGGCAGCCAGCGAACGTACTAGAGCAAGCCATGTGTCAAAGGCGAAGTCAGTTATTGTTTCTGGCCTTAACGTTATTGCTCCAGGAGACGCAGGCTACCTCTGGGAGGCCGTGAAAAAATCTGGCTCAGTCGAGAAGGTACTTGGCATCGGTGAACGACAAGAAGACCGAAAATATCTAAAGGCACTGGCGGAGTCTTACCAAAACGCATCTACCTGGGAAACAAGGCGTCAGATATTATCAATCATGGCAGACCTGATAACGTTTAAGCGTATCCTAAACTACATTCCAGGAATCACCGAATACCGGTTCAAAATGGCGGGACAGCACTCTCTTCAATATGGACGGGGTGCCTTGCCAGCCCGAGCAAAAAGTCCTAGGATGAGAGTAGAAGATAAACAGTTGGATCACTTTTTGACTTACATAACTAACCCGCACGTGATCCAGGATCTTCCTTTTGGGCAGCGATATCTCCGCCTATCTTCTGGAAAGATATTAGAAACCCCAAATGTCATTAGGGCGATGATCCCTAACAGGCTAGTAAAGCAGTACCAGGCTTATTGCGAGGAGACGAATTTCACTCCATTCAGCCCAACAACAATGTTAAGAGTCCTGTCTGGCTGCGGGGCGACCGTAAGGAAGTCCTTGCAAGGGCTCGACTACATTGCTTCGGATGGCGCGAAAGGGTTTGAAGCTTTGTGTGGAGTAGTGGACCAACTTAAAGAGAGAAGTCTGGACAGAGAGACTGCCAAAAAATGGGAAGTGTCTCTGAGGGAAGGCAAGCAGTATCTGAAGGCTGATTATAAGGTATCAGATACGGTTTAAAACATGGTTAACTGAAAGTAAACCGGAATATATAACGAACTGCCACGAGACTGGCAAAATGGCAAAATCTGTTAACTTTGTCGTGAGGGCTTAATTAAATCAGGTGGGTTCTTTTCCAAACTAATTATACTATTGTTGGGCAAGAGAACACCGTTCTCTATACTGGCGTCCGTCTTCGCCTTGTTAGGTGTGTACTTTATTCTGCCAAAGGTTCATATTTTCTAATTGCTTTAACCAAGCTTGGCAAAAATATTGCGCGTACAATAGATGAAAGCTCAGAAACTTCAAACGGTCACTAAATTTACTACTTTGTCTTTTTTGAAGGTTCATGTATCCGAGTCCTCCCCGGTTGCAGACCATTGCAGCGGATACGCTCTCAGCGATAGTAAGGACGATGAACTAAGATCCCAATGCTCTCATAATCATGACATTCAGTGTTCACAGTGTGAAAGTCTCAGTAATGTTCTTTTTTCAATTAAAACATTCTTGACTGAGTCAACGTTTGTACCTGAAGAACTAGAAGACGTCTTGTACACGCATAGTCATGCAGTCCAGGCAATCCACTCCTGGAAAGCACGTCAACTCAGGTGTGTCAGGCAAGATACAGCAAGGACGGCGTGCTTGAGCGCTTTAAATGAGACCTCTGTACTCATAACACAAGATTGGGCTATGAAGTTTTTACCGCTCAAATATAGAGAAAACCAATCAGATTGGTACGGGAAACGAGGAATATCGTGGCACATAAGTGTCATCGCAAGAAAAATGAGAGGGCTTTTAGAAAGTCAGTCCTTCGTCCACATAGTTGAGAATACATCACAAGACAGCTCAGTTGTAGTGCGAATTATTGAGCACACCTTAAGGTCGCTGAAAGAGGAGAATCCTAGAATCAACAGAGCATTTCTACGGCAAGATAACGCGGGATGTTATCACAGTTCTGCTGTAATAGCATCATGCACCCTAATGAAGGCAAACACTGGGATAGACGTTTGCCGAGTAGATTTCAGTGACCCTAAAGGAGGCAAGGGTGCTTGTGACCGAAAAGCCGCCACTATCAAGGCCCATGTCCGCAGGTATGTAAATGAGGGCCACGACGTGCAAAATGCTGAACAGCTTCAAACAGCTATCCTGTCTAATGGAGGTGTCACCGGGGTTCGCGTTACTATTGTTAATGCTGCCGTTTCTGCCTGTGAACTGCCTCAAGTCAAACTTGATGGTATCAGCACGTTAAACAACTTTGAGTGCTGCAAAGACAAGTTGACAGTTTGGAGAGCTTTCAACGTCGGAAATGGAAGGGAGATCAGCCAAACGAAAGTTCAAGGTAAAAAAAATACGGGCATAGTGATATATAAATGTACTGTATTGGAGTGTTGCAAATACTCACTGACTTAGTCAGCTAATAATTACGGATAACGGGCAATATTAACAGAGTATAAGAGAGTCTATACTAATGGCTACTATAGATAACTCAGTCAGTTGTGTACATGATAAATTAACAAACCTTTAAAAGACGCGAAAAACTTTTCATCTGAAATTAAAAAAGACTTCCATTTCAATGTTCGCTTTTTTAGTTGCTGATGTCTTACAAAGCTGCAAATTTACTTGCCGATTTTCCCTTGGTGATCCAAGGAAGCCTCAAAGAAGCCAAGACCCAACGAAACGACGACAGTAGAAGAAACGAAAGACGCTTCTGTATTGTTCTCCTGCCCAAATGAAGGTTGCATCAAGGTATACGAGAGATACTCGAGTCTCGAAAGGCATATGTCGTTTGGCAAATGCGAGTTGATTCCGGAGAAAGAGACTTTGCTGGACAGGGCTAAATTAACGTACCACGCTATCCTTCAGGACGATATTGGCATTGCAAAAGTATTTGAAGGAAGGGAAACGGAGAAGAAGCACGGTGTCAGTTTACCTGAGGGTTGGGCGTTGAAAACTGCAAAGAAGTCGTCACGGTTTAACGAATCACAAAGAAAGTACCTGCAGGAAAAATTTGAGCTTGGACAGCAAACAGGCCACAAACAAAACCCTGAGAAAGTGGCGAGAGATATGCGTTTTGCAAAAAAAGCAGATGGTTCGAGGCTGTTCTCGAGTGATGAGTTTCTTACCTCGCAGCAGATACAGTCTTTCTTTTCAAGATTATCGTGCAAGTTGCGTCACGCTGTAGAGGTTAGCGACTCAGATTTACAAGCTTCTCAGGATGAACAAGAGTTTTGCGACACCCGCCAGGCTGTGTTAGAGGAAGTACAGCTAGAACATCCCATCGCTTATGACAACCTAAACCTTTGCGAATTGACCAAGAAAGGTAACATGAAAACACTCAGCATTGCAATGCTGAAGAACATATGCGAGTATTTTGATATCTGCACGGAAGAATTTAACCCAAGGCGCAAGGCAGAGTACCTTGCCGCGTTAGGGGATCTTGTAAAAGGGTGCGGCTGTAACGCCCAAGAGTCAAATTAGTGTTAACAGTTTGGATAACAGTTGTCAGGAGGGGCCGCATCTCGTTTTGCGAGATGGTTGGAAAAAAATTGTCCCACCTAGTTTATTTTAGCTCGTCAGATTCATCACGTATAAAAAAGCTTCAGTTCCAGTTTTTTTTATTTACACGCTGACCTCCTTCTAAACTTTTACCTACTGGTGATCTCATACTTTTGCGCATTCCTAATTTTGCGCAATCCCCCGTCTCCCCATCGCTCCGCGGACCGTGTCGTCGGATTTTAAAATCTATTGTTTTGTTCGAAAATAATTGTATTATTACAATTACTACTTCTAAGCAAAGCGATAACTTGACTCGTATTATAATCACTTAAACTGACGATGTTTAATTATTATACGTAGAATTAACGGGAAGCGTTATGATCGTATAAGACTAAGAGTAGATGTGAGAGAAACATTGTTAATTTAACGAGCGCTTCCAAAATCTGCGCTCATCTACCCGATGCTAGATTTTCCCTTAATTCTTACAGGATTTTGCTGACAACGAAAGAAAGGAATCGATCCATACAAGTTTTGTTTAATTTGTCTTTGTGGGTACGTAATCCGGGGGTTACTCGACCAATACTAGGGTATATGTGAGCCGCTGAGGATTTGAAACCCTGACCCTGTTTAGGAGAAAAAAATTGCAAAATACATACTCTGTTTATGATATACCCTGTTTAGAACAGAGAGTTCAAAAACCATACCCGGTCCAGCGGCACATATAAGGGAGTACCCCCGGGGTCCGTTATTCCTGCGCGTCGTTTTTACCTTGAGTCCCAGAGACTTTACCCAGCACTATTCAGGGTAAGTACGATTATTTAGGAATTATCCTAACACTTAAGTATCTATTATAGAAATATCCCATGCCTTTTGTCAGTATAGTACAAAACACCCAATGTTGCTAAAAATATAATGAGACTTGCGGTTCCGGAATACACTTGACTGGGTGTACTGTAGCGTTTCATGGTCAATTGTTTTTATGCAAATTGTGTTAGCGCGCGAGTGCGATGATCTCTTCGTACTTTTCTAATGAGTGCTGTGGTTTCGATCCAGGAAAAGATCTGTAAGGTGGGAAGTATTTTATAAGCAATTGGTGAATTGACTAACCTTGTAGCTGATCACCAATTTGTGTTGTAAGTACAAAGACAATCAATTTCTAATTCACCGGTAAACAAACCGCAAACGTCTGAGCAAACTAATATTTTGACTTTCCAAATTCTCTTTTTTGGGGAATACAGTACCACAAATTGAAAAGACTAGTATCCTTAACTGGTAATATGCTAGAAATGAGGAAACAGGCTTCATCATGCAAAGGAAAATCGGAGTTGAAGAGCTCTGAGTTCCTATTTTCACTGATTTGGAACCGTTCCAAGTTCAAAAGGTCGCTCAAAAATGGCCCAGGTAACCCATTTTCAAAACGCTCTCAGAACTCGCCGTTTCATTTACCCCAATTTTTTTTTTCATCGATGTTTAGTTGAAATGATAATGTTTCCTCCTAGTATAGTTTTGTTGGTCAAAGCGATGTACCAGAGTGCTTTTTTAGGCCTTGAATTTAGCCAAAATACTGTTGTTGTAATCACCATTGAAAGGTGTAAAATTAGAAAATCTGTCAAATTTTCACGTTTACATTTTCTTTGCATTTGACGACACCGATAATCTGAGAAAAGACGATAGTTTGATTTGCTTGGTTAATCTTTTTATGAAAGGTTTCAAGGTATTAATGGGAGCTTCTGCAAAAGTGCATATTTCGGCGTGATTAAAGCCGGCGTTAACGGTCAAAATTTAAAAAATTCACTAAAAAATAAGTAAAACCCCAAACGACCCGAAAGTTATATTTTTAGAAACAGTTCATCAAGGCCTTCTTTCTGGCAAAGTTTGGGAAAATCGGATTTTTCTATCTTGCATACCCTTAGTCGGTCCTTACAGAAAACCGCTCTTAAGTCCCACATGTGTCGTATACATTTTATAGCGCAGCTTAAAATGTATTCATATAGATCCAAAAGGACTCCGGATAGCATAAAAAGTGTTTTCAATTTATTTAGGAGGAAACCGTCGTTGGGTGCCTCAGCCTTATTCCTTTCTTAAGGAACATGTAATGTAAATCATTCAAAAGATTAGAACAACTAAACAAAACAACATCATTTCTGTTCTGAAGGCTATCATAAATGACATCAATCTTGTCGCTGTCATCTCACATTGTTTCAAGAAATCGAAGTCATTCTCATACTTTTTAAAATTATCTTTCCTGATGATCGAAATCGAATATAAGTAGTTCCCACTACCAACTGACAACAACTTTTTCACTCTGAATTAATATATAGTATGTCTGAATACAGTTGCGTATTAATTTCAGATTGCTTCTTTCAGCGTTTTAACCTGAATCATTTAGATTATTGATTTCAATATCCGGCACTGCTCCTTGCGTAACACAAGGCTCTGTGTAAGGCAATGGAAACGATTTTATCCAAGTAAAACCTCATCACCTATGAGGTATATTTTTGCATTGTTATTAATAGAGGGTTAAGTTTAATTTACTCACCGTCATTAGTAATTTTTTGGTCCCAGTGTCTAGTCCGAAAGTGTTCCTTAAGTTTACACTCTTTCGGCAACGGTTTTCTCTCCTCCCTCGGACAAAGGCTGCAATGATAGAGGCGACCATAACACGGCGCAGGACACCTGCCATCCCCACAACGGTCAAATAATGTTGGAAAGTCTGCGTCAGCTGGGACGATGGAAATATGGTTTGTAAGACTCCCCTTCGAAAAACAGAAAGAAAGTTACCATGTTGCAAAAATTAAAAGCTATTCAGTAAGGCAGTTAATTTAAGCAGGAAACTTTTAATAGAAAATGAGCATACTTACTTCCATTTCAGCTTGTTGAGCCGGGTTTAATCGGAAAAGGATGATCCTCGTGGCACCTAAGTGAACTGTGGTTGACCAGCTTCGTAACACAGCAATCCAAGAGGCCGATTCAAATGATCTTAAGTAGGGACGATATTTCGCTCATTCATACTTAACTGCTCGGAAATATACCTTTACACCCATCCTTACAAAAGGCCTACACCCTTACTCAAACATCCGTGTTAGCATCTTAAGACCTACACCTTATTAGCTACACCTTAATGCGGACATCCGCAAAATTGTTATACCGTTTGCTCAAAATAGATTCCACAATCTCGAATCCTGACGTTTGAGTGCGCAATTTCAAATGAGAGGTCCCCATGAAATCCCTTTGTCCCCAAAATTTGGCCTGTTTTAGTTCAATAAGTTATAGTACTGTAAGAAAGGTCGATAACTTATTGCGAATGTGTAAGTATTATCATATTTGAATTATTTCCTCAGTTATTTATTCTGCGTGTACGTTATAGTGTTTCTATTCAAAATTGAGGACTCGCAGTTACAACGCGGCTCTCGTCGGTGACCCAAAGGGTTATACCAACCCCCCGTCCCTAATTTATTTCCCTCAATGTAACGTGGACACGTAATAGATTCTGCTTGAAAAGTGGGAAATTTTGTTTCTCAATGACTCTGAACTTATGTTAACTTTAGCGCAGCAACGACGACGAACAGGAGAAGGGTCCCGACGCGGTGGACGGGTGTCGATTAACCGTGGAGCCTTGCAACAGAAGACTGACAAAAAGACATAACACGTGCATGAACCCTGCTTAGACAAGGAAAGGTGCACTCAAGGTCGAAGCCCGGAAATGACAAAGCAAACATAAACAGACCTTGCAACCTTACTCCCCGAACACGTAGAGTTTATGGTGTCGCGACACCAGAGATGGCCTGATGTTGTTCATCATACTTTTGTGTTCTCATTGTAAAGCTATCATAGGATTAGCTAAGAGGTTTTCAGCCCAATGGCTGTTGTTTTCATAAAAAAAGAGTGGATTTTTGTAGTCTTAGAACTATATTTACATACGAACATCTGCTGGGAGTACTGGGCCTGGTTCCGGGGGGGTACTGCCATAAATTCGTAAAGTACCCCCCCCGGGGGCCTGGTTTTGCAGCGAGGCTTCGTTTCCCTTGTTCGTGTAGTCAAGCGATATGAAGCGTGGGGTTTGACATTGTACGTACACAACGGACTCGATTAACATCGGACATCAGGGAAATCCGGGGAAGCTCCCTGTGACAGCCTTTATGGGGAGGCCTTAACCGAACCCAAAGGAGTTCCTTTTTAAGTCTTCAGGTATATGAAAGGATATGGGTTTCACTAGTTGAAATATATTAAAGGGTAGACTTTTCAGGCAATGTTTACCGCAAGGAAAAAAATGTCAGAACACTGACGGAACAGTAACAGAAAACTCTGATATCTAGTGTGGTTTCGAGGGTCAATTTTTCTCGATGTCCTTTCGTGCGAAAGCGGAGGCCGAGCAAGGGTAGAGCGTAGGCTTGTTGAAAGAATATTGTACGTATTCAGGAGCACTTAGGAAGACCTTAGATAACAATGACCTCAACCAGGTCTTGAGTCCAGCCGTTTTAGTGAAGACAACTAGGATTTGGCTGGGGGCTTAGTCTTGCTTGCTCAAAAAAAAAAACTGGTCTCGCTCAACCAACACCGACCGTTTTGCACAGTTTGTAACGTGCAAATATGCCACCTATTTAGATTCCTAAGCGCCTTACATACTTATTTTGTATTATTTATTATCTTACATTCCCGTTATTTCTGACCCTACCTGTAATTCAGTTCTCACTGCAAAAGGTAGCAATAAACCAATTTATTTATTTATTCTTATTGAAGGATTGTCGAGCCCATAACACGGCCGAACCGGTTACGAGACCGACATAGGACCAACGTTATCAAATCAATGTTTTTTGCTCCAGACGTCATTGCAATTCCGTTGCAAATTAATCTTTCTCTCATCGGTTATCTGGTTATCAGTGTACAGCGAGTGTAATTTATCATGCAAGAAGCACGTATTAAACCCAACCAAAAGGTTTCCACCACACGTTTCCCACTGACCGTAATAGCTTGTCACATAAATAAAGTAATTCTTTCTTAGGTCACAAGGTTCAAACGAACTTAACCCATGCACGTTTTTCTACAAAATTGTTAAGTCGAAAATAATTAGGGCCTCTCTAGTCTTTCAGTTCTGGTGCAGGTCAAAAACGATTATAATCATGTTAACGGGGAATCAGAGTGACGACCTCATCTACAAAAGAGTGATTTACCTAGAACAGAATACAAAAGGGTAGTGAAGTAGTCTTGAAATTTTATTGATACTAGCACTTTCATGCTTTTTTGCAAAGCAATCACAAGACAACTATTAAAAGCAATCAACAATCAAAATATACAGAGAGAACAGAACAATGAATACTCGGCGTGACGAATGGCGCAAGCATAACATTTTTATTAAATAAACTTCTGGCTTCCGGCACTCTCACTCGCTTTGCCATTAAGAATTTTATTATTATTATTATTGATTATTGTTATTAACATTATCGTTATCATTAGTATTTTTATTATTAGTCTTCTAATAATTATTAACATGGGGCCTCATATTGATCGTCGGGGCTTAGAATGGTGGGCGTAGAATGGGGGGTTTGATATGGGAATGGGGGCCTGATGTGGGGAGGCCTGATATGGTAAGGGGCCTGAAATGGGGGGTTTGATATGGGAGGGCTTGGAATGGGGGGGCCTGATATGGGGGGCCTGAAATTGTACGGGGCCTGTAATGGGGGGCCTGGGATTGTAAGGAACGTTCCAAACCCTGCTCGATGAAGGATGTTTTTAGCTGTAGCGCCTTAGTTTAACGGAAATTTTGCGAGAAAAAACAAATGCCATCACGAGCTAGTAAGTTTTGCTGCTTGATTTTGATCTTTGATATTCATACAGCAAGAAAATTATGAGACGTTGTATGGAGAAATATTCTTTGCTCACTAAATTAGCAAAATGTACATTGAATATCGCTTTCAAGCTTACCTTTAGCGTCTTCTTGCTTTTCCTTGCATTTCAGACCTCCTAGGCACTGTTTAAGGCCTTTTTTGGAGCGACAGTTTTTCACCCAGATGACAGTAGAGAGAAGAGAAGAGAAGGTTGGCAAACCTCTCTTGACCGGCTCCGCTCTCGGAGGCGATAAATTCCGTGACATTTGCGAGTCAACTCTTTCTGAGACGGACACCTTGGGAACCTGCAGTATGTGTCCGTCTTAGAGAGATGTCCGTCTTATAGAGAGTCAAATAAAGGGAGTAGGGAGTAAAGAAAGGTAGGGACCAAACTCTGAGTGTCCGTTTTACAGAGGTGTCCGTTAAGAGAGAGTAGACTGTATTTCTCTGATTACCCAAACGAGCTATTTTCCGCCTCGCCACTGTCATTTTTTCGGAGAGGGTTTTGGGGGGGAGGGGGGGGGGAACATTATCAGTTAGAAGACGGTTTCTGCTAAAATTTTGCTAAGAGAGTCAGTGCTGCTGACTACTATAAGTCCCTCACTTCAGGGATAGCAAAGACTCCTCGCGTATTTATCGTGCTTTACACTCCCTGGGGAAAGAGAGAAAGACTACTTGCGGTCTTAAGATATTGTCACACTCGGATACCGGATAGAATTTGCGCCACCACGAAAATCAGGACTTCGATATGCTCACACCCAAAAATGGCTGCCAGTTGCGGCGCGATTTCTGTGACGGTCGAGCGAAGCTGCGCCTCGCCGATCTCGAACGTGTAGTCAGTCACATATCGGATAGGAAGGTGTTCACTCTATACCGGATTTGGAGAACCGGGCAGCACATCCCCACAAAGAATTCCCAGGAGTACCCACCCCCACCCCGGGCCTTTGTGCCGACTTTTCAGCGAGAAAAAAGTAGACCAGATGACAATGAAAACTTGGCTACAAATTGCCCAGTGACGATCATGCCATGACACCATAGACCGTCAATCTGTAATGCGCGGTTTAATATATTTTATCTCTCATTAAGCGTAATTATATCACCTCCAATCTCATTGAAAAAGAAAACTTTCGACCGTTGAATATACCACAGGGCATCGATACAATGAACCCCTGTATACCGAACACCCCGGTGTAATCCCACTCAGCTTTTCGTTCAAGTTAAAGCAAAATTTATGGAACAGAACTTCGATTACGTGACAATTTACCCAGTCCTTTGTCCCAGACCTGTACACGATTTTCATTTTCAGGATAACGGGCGAACAAAAAGCCAAAACAACTGGGCTGAAATCAGTGAAGCTGTGTACGGTTTAAAAGTTGGCGAGACATTCAATTTGCATAAAAGTCTACAGAAATTATTGGCTGCACTTATTGTCACTCAAAATACTTCATAGGCCGATAATCAGTAAGTATTGGTGCCAGAGTCCTACGAAGCGGGAGATTGGGTTGAATTCTAGGGTTCTTTCAAACCTCATGTTGGTAACACCTCGCCTGCTCCAGGTCCACACGGTTTTATTAAAGAACGTCTTGCCGACCCCTAATTGTGCAATGTTTTTAGCTTGCTTATTAGTGCTCAACAAAGAAAAGAGCTTGTTATTAAACAGCCTCTTGAATGTGCAGAGGACTCTCCTGTCTCTCCTTCAATACCAAATTTCCTATGCTCGCCTCTACACAGAAAGGGTTTGGCAGAGGCAACCAAAGCAAACTCTAAGAAAGCACAACTTTTCGTGAAAAACTTTTGAAACTTGAAAGAAAAATTGATCTGCCATTGAGCGTGTACGTCCTTGTGTCGAGGTCCTTTATCCCGTAACGCGCATAAACCCACGAAATGAAGACAACTAGACGCTCTCAACCCGCTTGGGAATCTTTCCTCGAAGCTTCGACTTATCAACATTTTCTAAACCGGCTGTCATTTCGTGATAGCTGTGTTAAATTATCCTTTTATTGTAACACCCCGCAACATACCCTTTCCACTGAATCATATTCATTTCTATGTTCTGAGTCTTTTAAAAAATCTGTACACTGAAAACAAATCATGGTCAAAGTAAAAGTACAGCTTCCTATCATGTCAACCGAATTTGTCACAAAGAACACTAGTCGAACGTCTGTTGTCATTTGGATTATAAAACATGGCCATTGGCCTACAAAGGGAGTTTGTAATTTATATACAACTGTGGCAGGTATACTTTAGTTTAGGACGACCCAAAAGAGTCAATTAGCCCCAACACAAGAGCACCACGAACACTGACTTCAGCGGGGTGGCGCATGCAGTGTGACGCCTCGTTCACCATAATCTGGGAGGTAACATAGCAACAAGAAGAGTCTATTTAAACACCATAGCACCAATAAAAAGCTCGTAGGGTGTTTCTCCATCTCGACAACAGTTTATACTTGCTTTGGGGCCCTGAGAAATAGGCTACTCAAGGTCCACTCTCCGAGGTACCGGTGGAGGCGGAGCCTTTTTGGTTTCTCCGCCTAGAGGCCCTACTTTAGCAGGGTCTTTTGTTTGACTTTCCAGTTTGTCACATTCAACAGTGTCTTCATCACAGCCATTTATCACTGATACGTCATTTGATTCACTCGCAGAAATTTGAGGAGTATCGACTGGACGCTCACTCCGCACTGGTTTGGGCTTTGGTTTTAAAGGGGGAGGGGGATGTAAGTCCGGTCTCTTCGAGGGCTCGGGTTTAGGGGCTTTAATAGTGGGATTCTGTTGAGCCTCTTCCACGATTTCACCCCGGGGAGGTTTAGATTTAGCACGTGGAGGTGCTATAGGTCTCTCTGTTGAGTCTGAAACGTCCGTTTCTTCATTAATGTCCCGTTCGACTGCTAACGAGCGAGGTCTTGGCTTGGGAATCGGTTTGGAGAGACTGGAGACTGAACCAGCTCGTGGAATCGGTGCAGGCTTGTCAGCAGGTTTAGACTGATCTGCAACAGGACGAGCAGTGGCCGATTTCTTATCTGAGTCAAGTGACTTCTCCTTGGTTTCCTCTCCTTTGTCGCCTTTACAAAACAAAAAATAACAATCAGTGCAAAGTATGGGTTGATAAAAATGTCCATCGCTTTCAACTACATTAGGAACCCGGATTAAAACAAAAGAAAAAAAACAACCCTGAAAAGTACCTTGCCAACTTAAAATACAAGTACAAGCAAGGAAACGTAAACACGAAGAAACTATACGCGTATTTCAAGATATTCATCAAAACAGAATGTACAAACAATGCTCTAAACCGATGTAAAGGCGATGAAATTCTAACAAAATTCTCAACCAGTCCTGTGGATTCCATCAACCTAACTACTATTCAATAGCAAACCTCGTTCAGCCGCTTACCTTTTGGGGCGTTGTCATCTGTTTCCACCATTTTTTGCCCTTCATCTTTCTCTTCCTTTAAACCCTCGGGTAGTAAAAACGAAGGGAGTAATTTGGGGTCATCTTTGGCAGCCTGTAGCAGAGCCTCTACATTATCAGCCCCTATATGGGCCACATGTTGGACGTTAAATGGGACACTTATCCCTGGACCGGAACCCTGTAAGTAAATCACAAAAAGAAGTCTTTGATTCAGTCCAAAATACATAACATGGTCAAGAATAAATACTCGACAACATAACGAACTAGAAATTATGTATAGCGTTCAATAAGCCATAAGGGAAATAGTCCGTCTTGAAAAAATGTGCGCGTAATTGACAACCACGGACGGTTTCAAAAGGTTTTTTAGGGGTGGGGAAGTTTCTTACGGCAAATAGTGAATTTTACTGGAAATTCGTGACATGGTCGCTGAATGCGAAACGACAAAAAAGCGGATTGTTTTTTATTAACATGTCTTGTAGACGAATTTTGCTTTAACGATATTCCAGTTGCAGGCGTTGAATTGCCGCGCCATGAGTAAAAACCGAATTTCACAACGTAAATCAGTTACGAAAGTATTCGAAGTCTACAAGTTCACTTGTATTCAAACCCAAACTGATTTCACCTGTTTGGCTTTCTTTGTTTGACCATGAATGATTTCTACTTTAGGCTTGGGATTCAGAGAAATCTCCTTTTGTGAGGGGTTGGCAGGGACCGGTACCTTTGGACCATCAGTGGGTCTCTTGGGAGGAGCTGGTCGTTTAGGAGGAGCGGGCCTGGAAGGTTTTGGAGAAGCCTTAGCAGCACTCTTAACCAACGGATCAAAATCATTAATGGCTCCAGTTGTTGTCGCAGTCGGGCCATCCTCTTTAGGCATTGAGCTAACAAGGATTTCTTGGACTGTTTTTACTTCCACTTGAGAAGGAGCCTTGGACACAGGTTTGGGTCGTGCAGGTGCGGGCCTTGGTGGAGGTGGACGCTTTGGAGCCGGCTTCTGACTGTCTTCCCTTTTATGGCCTTCAACTTCTGAAAGGGAAGCAAAGGATAATAAACCTCAAGTTATACAGAAACTAAGAAGCGCATTAGTACTTCGCGCTTCCCCTCGCTGGATGGAATATAACGTGCACATCAGACAGTGGTCTTTTAATAATCGTGTTTGTAAACAACCAGGGCAGAGATTTGAATTATGAAACGTGAACCGTAATCTTCATTTTAAAGTTCTATATCTTAGCTCCTACCGTTCATTCCATCCTCGTCTCTTGTCCTCTTTATTTCGCGGTCCACCTCGGGTTCACTATCATCATCACTATCATTGGTCACCTCAAAGTTCATTTCATCTTCCACCTCACTCTCAGAGCTTTCATCCTCGGCATCTTCCGTCGACTGAATCTTAATTGGTTCTAATACAGGCAAGCAATTAGGATGCTTATCCCCTGGGGAAGATAACAAATCCGAAAGAGCCCGACTTCTTACGGGACTGAACGGACTATCGTCAATCTCTTCCGAAGAATCGACGAATGAAGTATCTTTTGTGACGAGGCTCTGAACCGTGAGGTCCGTCTTGGACAGAAGACAATCCGATTTCAGTCTGACTTGAACAGTTTTTCCACATACCTAAAGCAATTTGTAAAATGCAAAAACAGTTATTTCTTTCGTTACAAGATAGGTCAGGTGAGAAAGGTGGCTGCTTTTTGGTGAAAAAAAATCCGTAAATATTTAAAAGACAACAATCTTTAATTTCCCCGAACGGTTCAAGTAAATAATAGGTGGACGTTTACAATACGATTACGACCAATTTTCCCTTCTACAAAACGCTTATTTGCTTACTCCAGGCACCATTAAAACTGTAAACGAAAGAGTCTCATTATAAGACAGCTTCAACTATAACTCTTGCACTTCCAGAATACTGGGGGTAAATAACGTGATTTTAGCAAAAAGCCAACTTCTCCTGCTATTTTTTTTTACCTCCTTTCCGTCCAGTTCTAGAGCTTTCAATGCACTTCGACCATCATCCATAGTCAAACAAATTTCATCGTCAACCACTCTGGAAAAAAACACACGCACACAAACAAAAGACTGTTACTCAACCACCAGAAAGGAGCAGTTTTCTAATACAACTTCTTTTCTTTTCAAACAGCCATAAATTTGGAAAACTTAACACAGCAAAATATCAAATTCGTAATATGTACTTACTGACTGGGTGGGAGGGCGGGAAGGGAAAATATATGGCTCAAGGACCGTGCTTCCTGTCCGAGAGCCGAATTTTTTCCCATCCGGCGCGACCTAATTCAGTTGATGAGCATTTTACCATATGACTGTTGTGTTTTTGAATTTTTCTAACGGAGAGAAAACGCGTTCATGGCAGCATTTGCCTCGTTTCCCTGTCACTTTGCGCTTACGGCCCTCATACGGGGCTTTTTTATCATATGGTTTTCCAACGAAATTGCGCGCGGGACCGGAAGCGTCGTATCATAAATTACTTTTTAGAGCGTAATTTTACAAAACTGCTGACTAAAAGAACAGGTCTCAGCTCTCAAAAATCCTCCAAAAAGTTTCTTTTTCCGGAAAGATTGGCACATTTCAACAAAGACGTCCGCTTGACGATTACAGAATATCCGACCTACCTTACTAACACTACCGTCCCATAAGGCTCTACAGCGTCAAGAAGCTCCGATACATCAATTCCAGGTTCCTCATCGCCTGATTCATCGCTTGTTACAACGATGGTTGGGTCAGCGGGTCCCATAGCCTTCATAACCACGTCATGTACTTGCCTCTGTTTGGTCCGATCCACTTTTTGTATTTCAATTTCTACAAGAGCGACAACTGGCCTGCAGACAAGTGAAATTTGTGTTACTACTTTGATTCCTGAATCTCTTGCCACGACCAGTTGGAGGCAATATCAGGTTAAAGTAAGTTAGAAAGTGGGAGGAAAGAAAGTTGGATGGATGGGAGAACGAGCAAAAACTATTTGGTTTTAGTAAAATCCAACTAGTGGTCTATTATCAATGCTGCATTCTGATTGTTTGAGCTACTACTAGGCTATAGATGGTTTTCACAGAGACGTCATCAAATGATTGTAAAGTCAAAACAGCGAGGTTTCACGAATTCTTATTCACACTAGGTTGAAGATAAACAAAAAGTATATCTTTGTACAAGTTTCCATTCCCATAGCTTGTGTCATTTCGAAAGTTTTCGAGGTTTCACAGTGCGTGACACCAAACTAGGAATGCTGTCTTGCTGAAAAAAAGTCTCTCGTCTTGATCTTCGGCAGTATAACCATTTCAAGTATTAGAAGATATGTTTATGCGCACGTATGCTAGTTCTCGACTGAAAAGAAGGAGCTTTTATAGAAAAAGTGAACTCCAGATGTTTTTGTTGATTTCCGCGTTTCCATACAAAGCTGTACAAAGGTGCGGGAAACGTTTCGGAAAATAACTCAGAAACTGTGGGCCACAAAGACCGGAGACTTGAACAAAATTGTTTAAAAATTAGTATTTTATAACATTTCATTTTCTTGGCTTCTTCCACTGGACGGTTTCCAATTTTATTATTTTGTTGCGTGGCAGTGAAAACGATCTACAGTCGACTCCCGATGACTCGAACCCTAGCTAACTCGAACCTCGCGCTAACTCGAACCAAAATCGATTTCCCCTGGATTTCCGTCATACATGCACTGTAATTTTACCCTCGGTAACTCGAACCCTCTATAACTCGAACTCCCGCTAACTCGAACCAATTTTCGTTTCCGCTCAGGTCATTTTCTATATAATTTTACCCTCGATAACTCGAACCATGTTTTGAGCCCTTAAAAAGTCGGGAAAAAAAGCCGTCTACGGGCGTCCGAAACATTGAATTTTGGATTTCCTATTGACGTGTTGTAGGAGTATATAGTTTACTAGTGGAGGCTGATTTTGATTGTCACAGGCTGAAGTGATGCAGCTTTTCTTCTCAAAACAGTAAAACGCATGCTTTATTTAGGCTATGTTTTGTTACGTTACGTTCTGATTTATAAATTTAATTTTCACTTGACATTTCTACAATTAAATGTGATTACAATGTTCACTGTGCAGTAAAAACTGTTTTTTACCTAACTCTCGGCTATTTTCTTCGGGATCCCGATAACTCGAACCTTTTTTCGATTTCCCTTGAAGGTTCGAGTTATCGGGAGTCTACTGTATATGTTTAATATAGCCCACTAGTAGCGAAAAGCACCGGCTTTGAAAACCAAAACAGTGGCGGCTGAATCGCGTTTTGCTAGCTAAAGGTGTTTTGAGTTGATATTTTTGACCAACTAGTTGGAGTTTACTAGAACAATAGACCTTTTTACCGATACGGCGGCCATTTTGAATTAATTGGATTTAAGGAGTATTATGGGATGCCCAGGGGGCATGAGCACGATCTCATATACTCGCATCAGTATTTACGCGCGCTTTTCGGACCAATTTTTCTTTAAGTTTTCCTAGAAAAAGTTTGTAATGAGAAAAAAAGATCTTTGTGCGTCTTTGAATGTAATAACGATCGCCTTTTTCCCGAGAAATATACATTGAAGTTCCCTCTTTGCCCGAAAAGGGCGCGTATATACTGAACGAGTGCCCCCTAGGCATCCCATAATACTCCTTAAATCTCATAAATTCAATATGGCCGCCGTATCGGTAAAAAGGTCTATTATTCCTCTCGCCCTCATAGCCTCTGAGTCAATAGTCAATTATTCCAATAGCCTTCGGCCTCATGGGCTATTGACTAACAGCCCATTCGGGTTCGAGGAATAATTGTTAATTATCCACTAAGCTTGAAAGGAAAATAGCTACAACCAGACAGAGGCAATATTTAGAAAGTAGGAAGATCGTTAGGGGCAATATTTAGCCGAAAAAAGGAAGAAAGAAAGTTGGATAGATGTGAGAGCGAGCAAAGATTATTTGATTTCGTCCACTGTGATCTCTCTAAAAGGCTCATAGTTGATAATGCTTAATTCACAAATGTCATGTTGCGAACTTTTTGTGGTTATAAATCATATTTCAGACAATTAAAAACAAACAAATGAACAAAAAGGTTACAAGCTTACAGGAGCGCAAACTACGGACGCTTCCTTTTGACTGCTTTCATTGTAGGATTACGTCTACCAGCCGGTCCGAGACAGCTAAAAAGTTCGATTCACCTTAACTTCAGCACTGCACCACAAAATGCGTACCTACCTGGCTCGAAAGTGACTATCATTTTATCTAACGTGATTTAAACGCAGGAAATTAATTGCAGACTTGACAACTATAACTGCACGACTTTGGAATAAGGCCTGAAAAAAAGTCAGGCAAATCGGAAACCACCACCTTGACTCTTTTGGATCAAACGATCTTCCACTTGCAACTGGCATGATCAGCATTTTTAAAAACAAAATCTAAGGTTCTGGTCCTGAGTGTACCTGTGATCAGAGGTCTTGAGCTCTGCTCGGCCATAGTAAAGGCATTTACCAGCAGTAAAATGAATCCTGTCACCTTCACTGTTACCAGATTTATCGCCGCTATTTTCTATGACAAAACAAAAAATGTCGTTATGCAGCAATAATGCTTTGTGCCACTAGGTAACTTAAACAAATTACAGAAAGCAAACAGTGAACTCCTGCCAAACCTAAACCTTTTGTATGGAATTCACTGCTCCTTTCCTATAAACAGAAGTCCATCATTTGAGGAATAATTATAATTTTCCCGTTACATTAAACAAATTTTACCCCGTTTTCCATCTTGTTCATCGCTTTCCTCTTCGTTATCATCAACTTCCTCCTCCTCTTCTTCATCATCATCATCATCGTCAAACACGTCATCAGCATCAGTCTCATCTTCCCCTCCCCCCATCAGTAATTCCTTGCCTTCCTGTGGTACATGGTTATGCTGTGGAGTCACGTGTTTACGCACAAGTGTGGTTGATTTGTACCGGGGCTTTCTCCGTCTCCAGAGAACGCGGTCGGTCCAGGCCGGGTTACGCATCTTCTCACTGGTGTCATAATCATCGGAAAATAAGTCGTACTTGTAAGTTGGAGGAAAGGCAATTTTTCCCTCAAGGAATGCACGGAAAACCTTGTCAGAAAAACAGAAACAAATTGCCTTAAGATCGCTTGATCAAGCACTTTTGCGTCACTTTCATGACAGGAACAACAAACAAGCAAACTAAAATCTACGATGAATGATGTACACGCAGAAGCTGATGGTGGCTGAGTATGGTCATTATCTATTATTTTCTTTCAGTTTTCAGGATAATACGGCCCAATTTTGAAAATAATTCTGTAATTGAAGCAGTCGACTACTTACTCAAAACTGATTTTCCGTAAATTTTTAGGAAACCGGGCTTAAGAAACCCCTAGATTTCAAGTCTGTCGACCACACTGGCTGCACAACGGAGTAACCGGGCCAAGATGTCACAGTTGAATGGCCTTGTGGGATAATATCTGGCATACTGTTCTAGAGGATTATTAATTTTTCCGCTGCATAGTTTCATACAAATTCCACTTATATCGAGGTTTTCATGCAGCAGCAAAAATTTGTAATTTTCGTGTGCTTGAAGAAATTGTAACACTCTGGCGTGGGTATATTCAACTGAAACTACTTAGATCCGCACAAAAGACTGTCATTTAAAAGATTCTGAATCAGTAAAATTCGATAACTAAATCCCTTCTGCATATTAGTTTACAAACAGACGAAACGCTCTACTACACTGAAACCACGGTTATCAACAAAAGGCAAATTTATTGACAATCATGGGCAAAAAGCAAAGAAAGAAGGGGGAGAGTTGTTATTTAACAAGGAGAAACCATTACTGAATTTTTTTCTTGCAGGGCTCTTGAATCACTGTACCTTATGAGCGTTCTTTTGCTTCACAAGTTGATCTTCTTTCAGCAGTTCATTCCACTGTTTGCTTTTTATCAGTTCTTTTACTTCCTCAATGGGCAGATCGATACGGTAGTTAAAATCACCACACCAGAATACATAGTCATGTGACGATAATCGTCGACCCTGATTGGGAGACAGACAAGGTTGATTTTGCGTTAACATAATCAGAGAATAATTAACAATGAATGAATGAGGCTGAGTATGTTATTAAGAATTATGGAGATCTCGATACGAAAGCCGAATTCAATAGTTGTTTTATTATTCATTCAAAATAATTCTCAGTTTAAAAACATGGCTTAAACATGCTTACCTTCATCGATCCATTGATGTTAAGTTCATCTTCGATAATGCACGGTTAGGGTTGTTCGGCTCCGCAAATATTCTCCACATGGCAGATGTCGCCCTTCGAGTTGTCTTCTTGCTGTTCTTGCCATGTTTTTAGCTATTTTTTCGCCTAGTTCTTACTCTTGAAACGAGTGAAATGTCCGCCATTTTTGTCTTTATAACTACAACAACTCAGCCTCGTTCCCAGGTCTTCTCGGTTAACGTGCAAGAAAGCTGCACTTTTGACGTCATCGGTTCATTTAACGCAAAACTCTTCCAAATTTGGTCATCAGTAGCTGGTTATGGTGAATTATGCGTGTGCTTTTAACCAATCAGAATCGGGGAAAGATTTTGAATGAATAATAACAATTATTATTCATTCAAAATATTTCCCCAATTCTGATTGGCTAAAAACACACGCATAATTCACCATAACCAGTTACTGATGACCAAATTTGGAGGAATTTTGTGTTTAACGAGGAAATGACGTCAAAAATGCAGCCTTCTACAGGTTAATGCACCGTTAACCGAGAAGACCTGGGGACGAGGTTGAGTTGTTTTGGTTGTGAAGACAAAAATGGCGGACATTTCACTCGTTTCAAGAGTAAGAACTAGGCGAAAAAATAGCTAAAAACATGGCAAGAACAGCAAGAGGACAACTCGAAGGGCGACATCTGCTATTTGGAGAATATTTGCGGAGCTGAACAACCCTAAACGTGCACTATCAAAGGTAACTTAACATCGATGGATCGACGGAGGTAAGCATGTTTAGCCATGTTTTTAAACTAGGAACTATTTTGAATGAATAATAAAACAATTATTGAATTCGGCTTTCGTATCATATGAAGAATTATGGAGAACTCGGAGGGTGTTATCATAACACCCTCCGCCATAATTCTTCATAAAATACTCAGCCTCAATCATTAACTGTTAATTAATGAATTCTTAAATTTTCGACGCGTTATTTTCCACACGTCAGGAGATTGTTGCATCAGAATAAAAAACTTAATAAGTTCCCCTTACTTTTGTCTTCAGGGGCGAGTCTCTCTTACAGAATTCAAATTTTTCCCTTCGCTTTTCCACTTCTTTCTATCAAACAATTAGTTTCAATTTTGCCTGTAATCACTTAACCAAGACTACGGATAAAACAGTTTTCACTGTTAACAGTCTTCTATTTCGCTTTCTTCTCTTCCTTTCATCCTGGTATTCTCCCAGCCCTTAAGAGTCGTTTTGCGACTTTTGAGACGCCCATTAATGATAATTAAAACACAGCGCCATAGATGTCTTCCAAATAGTTTCACCTACAATAAACGTTTCAGAATATCAATACTTTACCATAGGGAAGACAATCCGTGACACTATATCATGATAATCACTGTTTCTGTCTGCTACCCCCGACTGACCAGCAGCAAAATGTGAACACACAAAACAGATAGAAGTAGCGTGTAACAACAGACGGATAGCCACTCCTCCTTTGTTTCCAGCGTTACCACCAAGCCCTGTTTTGACGGTTTGCACAGCTACGTCTCTGAAGAGAACAGAAAGAACGTGATCTACCATTGATCCAAAAACTTTCTAAAGAATTACAAATTGTGCAATTTTCTGAATATCGTACGAGGTTTTTTAATAAGAAGGTCTAAGTGAATAATTTTTGTTTGTTTAGTTACCTCAGAAACGGCACAAGATGCGGTCGAATAAAAACAAACAGGCAAACACCAACCAGCTGTTCACATGTAACCAGAACATACGCATGGTCACGTGATATGATACGCCGCAGTTCTTCGCCCCATTCCTTTCGCTGATTTGAACTAAAGTGTAAGAAAATGAAGTTTAGTTGAGAGAACATTACGCCACTCGCAATAAGGGTCAAAATATCGCAATCATTTAGGAGTAAAAAAGACATCGTAGCGGTTTGAGACTAAAAGAGGAACTCCACATTTTTTTAAAAATGATGTCTTATTTTCAAACAGATAAATATTTTATAAGTATACTGTATATGCGTCGCTGAAACCGTAGCAAACTATCTTTCGATATTAGGGTTGGTCAAATTGAAAGTCGCTTAGGATGTGGTTCTGTTAAACAATAGATAAAACTTTAGACAGGCCCATTAATTAAAAAAGAAAGTTACGATTCCTGGACGTAAAAGGAACTACATGTAGACTCTGAGATCATCCAATCCCTTCGTCTATGGAAACCAACTGGCCCTGTTCATTCAATGAAAATGAAAACCTGCATATGATCTCGAGAGATTCCGGAATTGACAGTGAGGATCTTGCAAATGCCATGTCAGACCAGAATGTCTGGTATAAGATTGTTCATAGCATCCTGATGATGACGGGGTTATTATCCCACCCCTGACCGAAAGTTACACCTACCTCGTTGAAACTATATTTGAAGCATTTAAGTCCACCAGCTCCTCAAAGCCAATGGCGAATATGTCCGTGGGCAACCGGAAATCTACGCTATCAGTCTCTGAATAACCGCTGTCCGGAAGTGTTTTGTGAAAGTCCAACAGCCAGTCGTGCATTGTTTGATGCTTGTGAGCGATACTTCGAAAATGTTTCCCGCCATTTACATTCCACGTTCCTACACATATCCGGATATTGGACCACGTAGTGTATTCAAGGTGGCGGTCGCACAGCTCGCGGAGAATCGTGGGAGAGGCTGAGAAAGAACAGATACACTTTTCAATTTTTTGCACTTTACCAGATCTTGTAGAAATGGTATGGTATCACATAAGACAGTCAACGGTTATGATTTGTTTTTGTTGTTGTTGTTGTTGTTTTTCCAAGAGAAATATTTCAAGAAATGTATTAATGTTTCCTAGAAAAAGACTTGCTAGATAAATTGTATTATCAAAGTTATAAAGGTGAAGTAAAACTTTATTCCACACTTTTCGACAACACATTTCGTTAAAAGCCAAAACATAGAAACACGAATCGTATGACGTACAAAATATAATTCAAATGCCGGTGTTCATCACTTTTCCTTTTCTTCAAAAAGGCCGCACAAGACTCCATTTACACGTTATTTACCAACTGTTTGAAAACGCTACATAGATGATATTTTTTCCTATGGGACATAAGTAAACCAGACATGGTAGATTTGTTCAAATTCACGGAGCAAGTAAACTTACTTCACCCTACTGCTCTAGCTCTACTGGCTATGAAATTTACGACCGAAATATCTGACACTGAGACAACCTTTTTAGACCCGGTTGGATACCGAGGCATAACATTCCACGAAAAATGAGAAAAAGCTATCATTGACGTAAAGACGCATTTTAAAAGGAAACCTCCAGTATATATGATTTGAGAAACAAGAAGCCTTGAGAATCCTACGAACAAACTCCTCTAAGGAAGTATTTCAGATTTCAAAAAACGGTTGATGGACAGAGGCTGGCCACACAATTTTGAATGAAAAATTGCTATTAGAAGTAAAACTCACAGAAGGAAAGCAGCTCTCCTGAAACAAAACAACAAGGAAGAAAAAGAAATATTGCTTTTCGTGACACAGTACAAGCCCTTAGTGTCTATTATAAAAGAAGCTTCAATAAAAAAGTGTAAACTCATACAAAACCAACCACTACCTTGGCAAAGTTTTAAAGAACCACTTAACCCTCAGACTTACACGCAAAATCTTACCCCCCACCATGGTACAAGAGGATGGTAGATGGGACCCCTCCCCAGAGTTTTTGATATGTTGCAGTATTTCGAAGCGATTTTTGCCTTCACTGAAAAGCCTTTGATCTTCTTAACAAGATGGGGTGTATTTTATGAATGGTGGCGCTGCTGGAGGCCTGTGACGTCACCAACAATGGTAGCCATCTTGGCCGTGATCTTGAATTTTACCAAGAATTAGAAATCAGCTTAAAACAGCGAGAAATGGCAATTGCTTGACATGAATAATAACGCATAAATAAGCAGTTTGCATGATTTTAGCCACAAGATTTACTTTTATTGTTGAAAAAAGTTGGAAAAAAACATACATTTTCTCTCAAAATGGCTTGACAACCTGCTACGTATTACGTCATAACTCGTAACCATAGAAACTGATCATCACTGAACTTGTCTCAAAATGCGTGCGAGGGATAGACGACCATCTACTGAAAACGTCAGGTGCTGATGTTTTATCCTCTTGGAAAAAATCCCAAAAAACTTCCCCCACCCCCCACCCCTTGTACGTCTGAGCGTTAAAGTGTTATTTCTTTGAGAAAGGAAAATATGGCAAAGGACATGCTTGTTAGAGCCAAAACATTAAAGGTATAGATGTGCAGCCTGTCACCCCTTGCAGTTTTTCGCAAAGAATAATTTAAGTATCCAAAAGGCTGGAGTCTATTAATTAATTAATTACTTTTTACTGTGCCCTGTAGTCGACAGGGAAACAAAGTTCGCATTTACAATAAACGGTTGGGTGATTTTACCATTACTCATGATATTCATTTGGCAAACAATGGTGAAATCAACGATCATGTTACATAAACAAACAAGAGTTAACGAAGTTTAAGTGCAATCAAATGATGCATTCTTACAAGTTTTCCTCTTTCCTTAGGGATCAAAGTCTTGAAAATGGGTGAAATACATAAAAAATATTAATAATTAACAAGCGTTTTTACTTATTAGCTGAGATTTTCCCAACAACCGACAAAAATCAAAAAGTTTAACCGACTACCGACGAAGATAGAAAATTTTAGCCGACTACCGACAAACTAACTGAATTTTAACCGACAACTGACAAGTGGACTCCCCCATTCAGACCCTCTCGCTAGTGTTACCTGAACAAAGTCACGCAATTTACCGTGTAAAAATGACGCGTACAAAAGCGCACGCGCGCGTTCACCAAGCTCTCCTACAAACGTGTTTCCTAGCAGTAACATATCAATAGCTTCTTGCTTGCTTCCGTCCAGGAAATTGTTGACGATAGTTCTGTGAACCGAGCGAGCGCCATCACGTAGTTTGTTGATAACCTAGAAGCGAAAAACATACAAAGCAGCTGAATTAACGAAAGCCATCTCTACAACATCTTTCACCAACCACTAATAGTAATTGGCAAGTAGCAGCTATTATTTTGGTCTTTACGCAATTGAGAACGCTCGCCTCCATTTTTTTAACGTCTCACCCCAGTATGTTTGACTCCCCATAACTTTGGCTGTAGTGCATGTAGGAAAAAGCCACAACGTGAAACAAAATATCTAACACTGAACTTAATTCTAGAGTATGTTTTGTTGACATCGCCGCTTCCACAGCAAAAGATACGCAGATACCTTTGCCTTGCCATCTAAAGCTCCTGTTCCTAGGTACATACGACTGATATGGTCGCCATTTTGTGTCCACATGGATCGAAACGCTTCTTGGAATCTGGAGAGTAAGGCTTGTTTGTTGGACAATCCCAAACACTCCACTTGCTGCGACAGTATCTAATGAGGATTATACCAGTTACATTAGCAAATTGGTACCAATGCGGATAAAAAGGGGCCGAAGAAAAAGAGATAGATCTAAGGTGCAAATTCACGTTTAAACCCACGATCCCACTATCTTGTAGAATGAAAGCACGCAAAAGACACCAAATGAAATGTCAGATATCAATAATTATCCTTATTCTCCGCTTTATTCTAATTCAGTGTTAGCACGGTACGTGAAATATAATAAAGCAAAAATGGCTTGCGAAGGAAAGTACCGGGAAATAAGACATAAAGAAATTAAATTCAAAGAATTAGAAAGCGGTTTTAAAATTTGGAGAGAAAGAGAGTTCAGGGAATTAAGATGTGCACGCACGCCCCTGACAAAATCTGAGGAGTAACATCTCTACCCCCACCACCTCCCCCCACCATCCTTGGGGGTACAAGAAATCGGAGTTGCAAAACGTTAGACAAATTAATAAGAAGACCAGCTTACTCAGAGACAAATAAAAAAGAGGCTAGAAAACGGAGCCACGGTAATTTAAAACGCATTTAATAAAAGTTTAGATTTCATTCAATTGCAAGAGACTGTAAGAAGTCAACTTACCTCAAGGCCTAAGTACGTCTGTACACTGTTGGTTCGATCGATACAATCTATGCAGTTTGTACGGATGGATCCTGTTTGTCTCCTATTAATGGTATTTCAAAGCACACATTCAGTGATAAATAAGGCTTACTTGAATGAAAGTTACCTCCGTTGACTAACACGGGGCAGGCCGTGGGGAAAAAAATATTTTATTAACAGTAAGTAAGACTAGCTCTGGCAAAGACAAAGGACCAGCCCTCGAACTCTAGAATCCTTAACAGTGGTAAATTTACTCTTCATCTACTCGGTTTATAAAACAAATGTTTGAGTGTAACTCAATCAATAACTGTTTTATGACTCATTTATTTATTGCTTGCATACTTTTCATCATCACCATTATCATCACCAAGCACCAAGCAACATCATCATCATCATCATCATTGTTTTTACTGCTGTCGACCAAGTAGAGGTGACATATAGCCAATAACATGTCAGTTTTAGAAGTATTTCTGTTATACATGACAATAAAGAAAAGTAGCCCTTCAAGAATTGCAAGAGTACATACTTTACAATCTGATCTCCTTTGGCAAAGAACAAACCAAATTCATTCATAGAGGGTTTGGCTTTATCCTTTAGAACAGAAAGTTTGTCCAATTTTCCTCCCCGGCAGTTTCGATGATAGTCAAAGCAGATCATGCGTGTCGTGTTCCCATGTATAGAATCTTTCAACTGATCCTGAAAACAGAAGTTCTGGCAACTTAGTACAGAATACTCAGTGCGACGTTAATTACACTCTGAGATCCGGCCGGATTCCTGAATACATAAACGGTATTAGCGTTTCTCTTGTAAAATCCAACCATGGATTTGCAGAATCCATACTCTCAATAGATACAATACATAGAATCTAAATCCGAACTCTCAGGATTCATGAGCCACGTGTTTGCATTGGAACATAAATCTGGTACCGCACCATGTGACAAATTACTGACACAAAAGACAGATGAAAACAGACAAATTGACCCTGAAGTAAAATTCAAGTGTTAGAAATGACCCACGAGATTCCCACAAAGCGTCAGTAGCCTTAAAGGCCTACGACGAAAAGACAGTGAAATGGACCTACGTGCGGAGTATTTGTATTTATCTCACTACTGATAAAAATCTACGTTTGCAAAACCTTCCTGACGATTTTGAGAACAAATGTAGGCTTTACATGGCCGGCAAAGGAGAATGCAGATGCAACACGCTAACATGATTCCCGAATTGCCAAATAGATTTTTGTCTTTCTTTCTCATTTTAACCGGAGGGCTACCATACCAGGAAATGTACTGTAACTTATAGTTAAGCCAATGTATTGATATTCTGCAAGTATGGCGGGTCGCACAAAACAATCGGCAGCCATCAACAGATTAATTAGCCTGTGTACTGACACCCCTCCCCCCTTCCCTCAGGAGAAATTGGAAATTGCAAGAAGTCACAGCTACCCGTGGAAGTAAGCAAAAGCAAAAGGTATTAAATCTGCTCATAAGTGATGAATTTCGTTTACCGAATTTCAAGATTTGGATCTTGCAGTGAAAAGGATGATCATTTCTAAAAAGACAACTCACCTGGTAGGCAACACTGAGAGTATTTTCACCTTCTTTTGAGCCCAGCAAGTTAATAAGAAGCTGCTGGCCGTATTCATGTTTTAAGCTTGTCAGATGTCTGAAAAAGAAAAATACCATTAAGAAAGTTCTTCAAAGTGTAGTAAATTAAAACACACCAAAACGAGTTGTTAGAATCAATCTCCTCAGCCGATTGTCTCTTCACAAATATTAGCAACAACATTAGCACTATCTGGCTAAAAAGAACCAATTTGCCACTGGCACATCTCCCATAATGCATCTTATTTGTCCCCCAACATTTTTCAAAAGCATTGTTTTCAATTTCTCTTGAGACGGCTGTAATACCCAGGAGAAATGAAAAACAAAGGTTATGAAAAATTTGGGGGGGCAAATAAAGTGCATTATGGGAGTTGTGCAAGTAGCAAGTACCTCTCAAAACACAGTTTACAAGTCAAGGGGAACCACACTAGTTTTTGCTGCTGATGCTACATTACAGCAAGCACTTTCTTTCTACCCTGCTCCTATCGCTTTTCTTACCCCATTTGACCACTGTTTTGTCTTTCACTTGGTAGTTACTATGCAAAAACCCCAAGCATTGGGAAATTATTTTTGTAGGAAGTATTCAAGGGAATTTTCACTTGAATTTTCAAGTTAACTCAACAAGTTTTTTTACTTTACCTGTCAAATGCAGGTGAAGATGCTTCAAATCCTCGAGAGAGCTTGACTTTGTGAGAACCAACCTGTAATCATTTAACAAAAGGTACTTTTTTATTCCCTAAAATGATGAAGGATTGAATAAATGACAATGACAAATAAATGCACGTAGGATGCAATTGTCATAGCTGGTAATCATCTTTTGGAACCGACCTTTTTTATTATTATTAGATTCTTTAATTAAGCACTGTATGGGGGAGGTGGTAGGCGGTAGGCTACAATCCTCTCATCCTCTCGAAAATTACCTTTGTTTCCCATAAACAAATCTTTTTTCTCCTAAAAAGTGGAAAAACTCTCTCAACCAACCACCCCGCCCAACCCATCTACTGTTTTGTTAGCCTCTGTTTCACCAGGCTCTGCGATTCAAGTATTTCTAATACTAAGTTTTAAATGCATGCTAAACAATGTCTGTCATACCTGTAGGCCAGGCTGTTCCCAAAAAACTGGCACTGATCCTCGAGTTTGAACATAAGATGTTGTCATGTCATCAACCACAATAAACTAAAATTACAACAGGAATAATAATATTTAACCAGGGACAGATGGGTCTACATCTTGGTCCAAATTGAAAGAAACTAGGCAGTGATAGTACACAACAGCCTACTACATAAAATTTCCTCCCACGTGGTTAATAATTAGAAGCTTGATAAAGTTGGCTTAAGGTGGATTTCCACGGTCATGTAATTTTTACGTGCATGTACACACAAGTAAATTTTACTCGCATAAGAGAAGCAACAAACAGTAATTAATATGTGTGTTCGTAGGCTAGACTTTGGCACTCCTAAGTCTTACTTATTTTAATTATTAAACAGCCTAGCATAAAAACTACGAGTATTGATACATTTAGCCCAAGTTTGCATAACTTGGTTGCTAGAGCAGAATGTCTTTTTCCAGAAAAGCTCTATAGTCTGCTCTCACAGGTAAAAGCTTGCAGGCATTAAATCAATATTCAGTTTGTTATTTATTGGCAAGGAAAAAAAAGAAATGTGATAATGTCATATTGGAGCAGATCCTGGAAAACTAGAATCACACTGCAGTACAAATTGTGCTGAGGGCATTCAACTTTGTTTCTTTTCCACAACAACCTTCTACGAAATATTAAAATATATTTAATATGCATACAAGATGACTCACTGCAAAGATCTCCGTGGATAAATGTACAATGCTGGTAGGGGCATTCAAACCACTAAAAGCCATACAAGGTTCATTCTAGGCAATTACCTGTTCTGTTTCCACAAAGTTAGCAACATGTCCATCATCATTCGTGCCTCGAACATAAAACCTTGTTCCTGCTCTCTCAGAACTTAATCTTGAAATAATACAGGCTTTGGCCTGTGTCTTTCCAACATAAACAGTTTTAATTTCTACAGCCCCACACATTATTCGAAGAAGCCATTGTGAACAGTCAATTCCAAATCTTTGTAAGTGAATGTGTAAGCTGCGATTCCTGAGAATACAATTGTCAAAAGCATTCAAAATCAATTCTCAATTAATAAATATGATAGTAAATGAATATGACAATAAAGCTAATGTTTAGTACTGTAAAATTATGATTGTTCAGGATAGACAGACTAAACAACACAAAAAAGTATTGCTATCACTAATCAGAGTATTGAGCGTCATCCTTTCCTTTTGTCTACCCTCCTTTTTATAGGATTTATTATCTTATGCTACAGATGTATGTTCACACTCTACCGGATAGCTTTTGCACCACCACAAAAATCATCCCGGAGAGGGCTTCTGTTCACAAATAACAATGGTGATTTTACTGCAATTTCTGTACTGAAGCGAAGCTGCACTGTGCCGATCTCCAAAGTGGAAAGTCAGTACACTGTAAACTGGATAGTTTTTCAGGGCAGAACCAAAAGCTACTACGTAAAGTGTGAACATGCCTTAAATAGTAGGAAAATGGATGGAGCTTGTCTAGGACTAAAATTTGCCAAACGGGCTACATTAAAAGCATGAGAAAAAATTTCTGTACTTTGTGAATCTTTTTTCTTTTTTTCTGCTCCTGTAATAAATTGTGACATGACATCTGTTTCTTAATAGTGCAAAAAACCATAACAAATCTGAATCTAAGGAAGCAAGGAAGATAAATGTGCTCTCTCTCCTTAGGGCAGACTTCTTCAAATATTATAAACTGCAAATTAAGTTAGAACATAAATTCCTATTAAAAAGGAGAGGTGTCCAGTTTTTAAATGATATGTTGATTCTTTTTGCTGGAGTTAAATTTAGGTTAAAATTTTTTAACCTAGGTTGATTTTCAATTTCTGCAATTTTCCTAGCCCTAATTCATGAATAATCAGGGCTAGGAGACAAAGGAAATTGAAAATCAACCCAGGTTAAAAAATTTTAACCTGAATATAATTTTGACCTGTGAGAAAGACAAAGCAACAGCCAGAATGGGTCTTCAATTTCGCAGCCTAACATGGTGAGGTCTACAATAATTTACTACCAGTTATACCCAAATCATCGAAGAGCCTTGTAGAATTATATCACCACATGTTGCTGATAAAAGTTTTAGAATTTTGTGATCTACTGGAATTGAGAAATATCCTTACAGCTACATCTAAAAGTCTAACCAAAGCCATATTCCTTTTCTGTGAAAATGTACCTGTAACCGTAAGCTGTATTTGAAAACATAGTTTTCACTCACCAAAAAAACCTGTTGTCTGGTTCTGAGTCCTCAAATCTTCTTTGAGAACAAAGTGTTAAGTCCAAGGGCTGCTTATCTCCGGCACAAACAGAAAAGTAAAATGTTCCAGAGTTCAAAAGTTTACGCACTTCAGAAATTATTTCTTCATCCAGATCATCTTGCAATGCAACCAGATGAGTGGCATTGATGCGAAATATTTCACTCTCACTGATTTTTCCAACTGAGGTACAACCAGTTACAAGAACTAAATAAAAACTTATCTCTGTTTCACCTGAAAGTTAAAGAAATCAAAGATTATGTTGGATTTATTAGATATTTTGTTATTTTGACAAATGAAGTTCTAGTGTTTTCCACCCTGAAAAATGTATGCCCTAAAAGTACAAACAGGTAGCCATTAAGACATCTGAAGGATCAGGATCATGAGATACCCCTATATTGAGATTTCTCCCACCAGATAACCCACCCAGCCCAGGAGAGGTTGGCCACACCACCAGAGTCTAGGTCTCCTATTCTAATCGAACAGTGACCTTTTATGTCGCACAAGAACCATACGGTTTTCCATCCGTATCCAAGAAGACTAGAAAGTCTAACCATCTGCAGATGTCATTACAAAGGCAGCACATAATTCTCAGTTATTTAAAGACACTGAGTGTTGGTCCGCCTGGGGTTGGAACCTGCAAACTCCACTCAGCAGACCAGCACTCTGCCAACTGAGCTAACTAGGTGGTGATTTTTTCTAACTGGGCAGTATAGTTTTTTGTAAAACAATGACCTTACACAAACAGTACAGTACTGGTCCTAACAATGCACACAATGCTTACGATCAAAACCCACCAACCATAAGTAAGATTCGTATTGTACCAATCACTAGCAACCATCGAGCAAAAGATATTAGTCACACAATGGCAAAGTGACACCATCGCCTGCCAGTGAAGACCAGCAGCATGGTGTATGGTCAAAACATCTTCATCAATAACAAAATGATTATCATGAGACAAGCAACCAGGTGGATACTGGCTAAAAAAAATTTTAACACACCGTCAACTTTTAATTAGAGAAATACTCCTGTTTTTTACAGCACTTAGTGTTCAAAAAGTGTGTTTAACCAGTAATGTAAGGGCTGGGGTCTTTTCAAACTAAGCACAATTTTGCGTGGAGTATCTCACTTTACAAATCTAATAATAAAATATAATAAACACATCTTATAATTGTTTTTCCTTTACCATAAAGGTTTTATCTTAACATTCTCAACAGAAACCTTGTATTTATATTTTAAATAATTCTTTTACACTATAGTGTAAATGTCTCTTCTTACCAAGATTGACTTTTAGGACTCCAAGGCAACCATAAGCATCAGTAACTTTTGAATATCCTTTCTTGATACTTTCAGTTTCCCATTGTGCTGTGAATGGAACAAGAAAGAAATAATATTGTATTTTAATAGTAAAGGCAATAAAATTTCTCACGTATTAAGTAACTAGTTATCTGAATATAAAAAAAAACTGTCCTGAAGGTATCAACATCAAGTCATAACAGGAAAAAGAAATAAAGCAAAGGAGCAATTCCAGTACTCAATAAAAAGTCACTGAGACTAGTTAATAAAAACTTGCATCCTAACCAACTGATCTAGTACAAGATCTCAAAGTGGTTAGCCTGGGCTCAATTCCTGCCTGTAACCAACATTAAATTTTAGGGTCTGTAAATATAAACTGTGGAAAATAGCTGACTTTGCTCTCACATCTGCAACCTTTCTTGACTAGTCTTTGGATAAGGATTGAAAACCATAGACTCAGTTTCTCAACACTTCCCTGTGGTTTGACTTCTTTGGGACATAAAAGAACCATGCTATGCAGTGTAACAATAGCTGGCCAGCACTCCCCATCATTAGTGTCTATCCATAACAAGTTATGGGATTGGGTAGGGAGGGGAGGGCACCTTGACTGAGACCTATAAGTTCCATTCATGCCTCTGCATCCCCACTGTGCAGGTCTGTATCCAGAAAAGCTGGTGAAAAAAGACTCTTCTAAACTCAATCAAACACATGTCTATATAATGACCA